CTTCTACAACGTGAGTCCCTCAGGGAACCTCCTGGAGCTCCTGCTGGGCCACCTGCAACTGCTCCTTTAAATCTGCAGCTGCTCCTTTAAAAATCCAGCAGCAGTTTCCTAACAATGCTCTTCCTTTAGCTTTTTGTTTCTTTTAACATTTTTATGTCCTTTCCCACCCCGAGAGCTGGCACTGGGATCGTATTTTGTACATATGGTTTTGCTGATGTTTTTTTTGGTGGATCTTTCCCGTCCTGGTGCCATCAGAAGGCCATCAGAACCGCAGATCACGTTTTCACAGTTGAAAAATAAGATTATGTTCTCACAGCAAAATATCCTCTATCTTAGCATTATAAACCCCTACAGGTGGATTTTCCAGAGGCTGGGAAGTGGGATGGGTTCCCCTCACCCCAGTGACTCCCAAGGTTCTCTGTTCTCTCCCCCAGCACGCCCTGCCACTCCCTGGATTCCTGCTGCTGGCTCCCGACATTTACCGGCACGCCGTGCTCTTCAACCAGTCCGGTGAGTTGGGAACCGGGATCCTCATCCTGGATTTTCCTGGACAACCTCTGGAAGCTCCCAGGGTGGCAGTTGTACCTTCCAGGCTGTCACTTTGGGATATTCCAGCCTTTTCAGGGAGGAATTGTTGGTTGGGAGGGTGGGGAGGCCCCGGCAGAGATCCCTGGAAGTGTCCAAGGCCGGGTTGGAGCAACCTGGGCCAGGGGAAGGTGTTTTGTCATCTCCTGATCCTCCTTCCCAAGCAGAAACATCTGCAAATCTCGTGTGGTTCTCATTTACCACGGGAAGAACGAGTTAAATCCCCCAAAAATCAAAGTGTGGACAAATTCACTGCCCAAAAATGAAACCATGGACAAATTCACTCCCCCAAAAGTCAAACCAGGAACAAATTCACTCCCCAAAAAAATCAAACCATGAACAAAAAAACTCCCCAAAAAATGAAACCAGGACCAAGAGAACTCCCCAAAAATCAAACCATGGGCAAATTCACTCCCCAAAAAATCAAGCTATATACAAGAGAACTGCCCAAAACCCCATTCCATGCTCAGATCTCTCTGTGCCTGTGGCAGGAAGGGCCCCCTGGGGCTGCAGTGAGTGCTGATGGTGGTCAGTGCTGGTCAGTGGAAGGACATCAGTGCTGGCCAGGGCAGGGGTGGGTCCCTTGGGTGGTGTCCCAGCCCCCGGGTGACCTTGTGCCCCCCCCTGTGCCCCCAGAGCCGTTCCAGGTGCCGCTGCTCGGGCTGACCGTGCCGATCATGTGGTTCTACCTGCTGATGAACGTCCTCACTCAGTATCCTTCGGCCTCCCAGCTGCTCTGGGTGGGGGCAGGACGGGTGGGATTGGGGGTGTGGGGTCCTTGGAGCCCTTCCCTGTGCTTGGGAGACGGTGTTGGAGCAGCTCAGGTGAGGAGTTGTCTGGTCGAGGTGGGAATATTGCCCTGAAGGGAGATCTCCAGCCCTGTGGTAAATGAGGGGTTGGAAAAGCCCTCTGAGATCACCGAGTGCCACCTGTCACCCAACCCCGCCCTGTCACCCATCCCGTGGCACTGAGGCCACATCCAGCCTGTCCTTAAACACCCCCAGGGCTTGGGCTGGAAGATTTGGGGTGTCCCTGTGTTTGTGGGGTGTCCTGGGTTTATCCCTTGGTTTGTGGGGTGTCCTGATGTTATTCCCTGGATTTGCAGTGTGTCCCTGGTTTTGTGGGATGTCCCTGGTTTGTGGGGTGTCCTGGGTTTGTCCCTGTGTTTGTGGGGTGTCCTGATGTTATTCCCTGGGTTTGTGAGGTATCCCTGGGTTTGTGGGGTATCCCTGTGATCCGCCGTGCATCCCTACACTTCCCACAATCCGTTCCACCCCACCCAAGGCATGAACTTCCCCTCCCACTCCCTCCCCATCCCTTATTCCCTCCCATTCCAGTCTCTCCTCCCTCTCCCAGAATTCCTGAGCTGCATTCCCAGGTACATGTCCCTCCCATTCCCCCCCATTCCCATGATCTCCCAGAATTCCTGAGCTGCATTCCCAGGTACGTGTGCATCCGGGGGGTGTTCACGCTGACCACGGAGTGCCCGTCGCTGACGGTGACGTTGGTGGTGACGCTGCGCAAGTTCCTGAGCCTCATCCTGTCCATCCTCTACTTCCAAAACCCCTTCACCGCCTGGCACTGGGCGGGCACCGCCCTCGTCTTCCTGGGAACACTCCTGTACTCCGAGATCTGGAGCGGCATCGGAGCCATCCGCGCCCGGGGCAGGGCCAAGGAGCACTGACACCCCCCAAAATCAGGGAGAGGACACTGGAGCACCGACACCCCCCAAAATCAGGGAGAGGACACTGGAGCACCGACACCCCCCAAAATCGGGGAGGGGACTTTGGAGGAGTGACACAACCCCCAGAGTTGGGGAGGGGACACTGGAGCAGTGACACAAACCCCAAAGTCGAGGATGGGACTTTGGAGGAGTTACACCCCCCCCCCCCTTAAAAATTAGGGATGGGACATTGGGAGCAGGGAATTCCCTCCCCCTTGAGGGGGGTGGTTTTTATAGGAAAGGGGGGGTTGGCTGGGCCGAGCTCCCAAAAACTGGGCTGGATCATGGACAGACACATCTTGTGTTTTTTTTAATACAACCCCTTTTTGCTTCCGGCTTTTCCTCCTGGTTTTTTTTTTTTTTTTTTGTTTGTTTGTTTTGGTTTTTTTTGGTGTGTGTGGTTTTTTTTTCCCGTTGGAATGAGACTTTGGAAGTCAAAGCTAACCCGGATCTCTTCCCACCTTGGAGCAGCTGGACCTGTTGGGTGCCATCCTTTGACCATTCCAGGGGCTGAGCCCTGGATCAGCTGCTGGAGCAGCATCTTGGGTTGTTCTAGTGGAAGTTTTCCAGTGGAAATTCCAGGCCTGGCTGTTCCCCTGAGTCCTTTGTCCCCTGTTCCTCCAATCCTTGGTCCCTGATCCCACCACCTGTGCTGGGAGGGTGTTGGACACACCCAGAGCCTCCCAGTTCACCCAGTGGATCCCACCCTGGAAAATGGCTCGGGGGGTGATTCCCAAGCCACAGGATCCCACCAGGAATAGCAGGATCCCAAAAACCTACTGTGGGAAAAGTTCCCTCCATCCCATCCCGAGCCATTGGGGGCTGAGGGGACCTGCAGCTCCATCCTGGAATCCTGAAGGATTTTCCAGTTCCGTTTTTCCTGAGCCTGGAAAAAAAACCCCTTTTTTAAGTGTCAACCACGGGATATTCCCAAGGATTTTGAGCTCCCCCTTTGAGCTCCCCAAGGATCCAGGGAGAGGCAAATCCTTTATCCCACTTTTCCCCCTCAAATCCATTCACCAAAAGCTTCAGCTCCGCCCAGGATGGGGGGGGTGGGGGTGGGAAAAGCCACACAAATTTGGGATGAGGAAATTCCAGGGAGAGAGGGAGAGGTTAAAGATCGCAGAATTCCAAATGCTGGGGTAGGGATTGAGGGATGTCCCACCCTGGTGCTGCTCCCAGGGAATTTTTTTGGGGAGCTTCCTGAATATTTATCATGGATTAGGAGAAATTTAGGAGAAATTCCCTTCCTGCTGGAGGCAAAATTAGGATTTCAATCCCCCTCCTCCCCCCCCAAATAAATGGGATTTATTGGGGTGATTTATTAGCGCTGATCTACTGGGGGTTGATGGTTGCTGATTAGGGAGTGTTTTTATGGATTTAGGGGGGATATTTTGGGGGATTTTTTTGAGGGGTTTTAGGGGGTGTTTTTTGGGATGTTTTTGTTGGGTTTAGAGAGGTGTTTTTATGGATTTAGGGAGATATTTTGGGGGGTGTTTTTGGTGGGTTTAAGGGGTATTTTC